AGATATAGCGTGGTATAGCAGTTTTGATAGTTAAATAGTACATGAAAGTCTATACATCAGAATGGGAAAGAGGTTGCAGTGGGATTTGGTTGCATAAGAGGGTCATTCCCAATAAATTGGGTACAGTTGGGACCTATGTGTATGTGTAAGGTCATTAAAATTAATGGTATACTTTTCCACTGCAAGAAAACAGGTACTCCATACATTTCCACAGTGACATCCTCTTTTATGCACAGTAGCTCGCTGGTCCTCACTGCTGCAGGGGCTGTAAATACTGTGTTGTGTCAGACCACAGCAGTGATAAAAGGTAACGCTGTAATCAGAGGACTGTACTTTTATTGACATAATTATTCAAAGATGTCCTCTTTGAATTCATGTTCATGTGTTCTTGGCGTGTGACTTTTTTGTTTTGTAAGTGGTATCATATCCTTTCATTAAATGATTGATAGTTTTAGGATTCAACTCAGAGTTCCATGCTCTTTATAAAAACACTTTTAAAAACATATCTATGTAAATCTACATTTGTGGGTCTTAATATTCTCATTAAAAAAACTAGGGATCACACTTTACCATCTGTATTGCACGGTAAAATCTTTGTATCAGTCTTAGCCATTGTACTCCTAGGATAGTATAATGATGTTGTCCTTATAAATCTCTAGTTTTTATCATGAACTATATTTATAAGAACAGCTTCTAAACCATATACAAGACTTTACTTGCCCCTTTAGGGAACCCTGTAACATTTACAGCACAAATTATGTAGGAAATACATCTTGATAGCGGATGCAAGTAGAGTTTTATCAAAGATTATTTACAGTGTACAATAACTGTATTGTACACTTCTTGAGTGGAAGTTTAACATTCTTGAGTGGAAGTTTAATTGTTTAAAACACACACCTGGCTCAACATGCATGGGCTGCACTGTCTGTAATCAAGCCATAATGTGCCTTCGTAGGTCACGCTACCAGGCCGAGCTATGACTGTGTGTGTGTGTGTTTTGGCATTGATTCAATCAGACCTAGTCAGTCTCACGTGACTTTTCTTCTCCTCCAGCCTTCAAAACAGTTTGTTTTAATATGACTCCTCTAATAGCTCTCACTGGCTTATAGTAGCAATTTTTTTGTTTCTCTGCTCTGTGTGCCAGATAGTCTGGAAAGAGAGACGTTTATAACAGGGTGTGGCTGTCTTTCATCACCTTGTGGCATTTAAGTGGAGGCTGTTGGTTTCTTTAGAAGTTGAAATTCAGCTGTGGATTTATACTTGTGTTTTAAATGACGGGCTTGGGATATAGGCCCATTAGTTATAAATATGTCTGCAAAAGAATATCTTCTAGGCAAAGCTTTTTTATCGGTTCTTTATTTTACTTTATGAGCCTTACGAACTGGACAAGCTGGTCTGCAGACTGATCCTCTTGTCCTGTTACATTTACCCACAGGTTGGTTTTAATTTAAATTCAATTGTTTACTGTCCAGGCTCCGTACTGTACAGGGTGTACTGTGCTTTGATCAGTACCGTGCAGAAAATCATGTCTGGAGTGCAGACACTCGTGTAATGGACAAGCATGTATCGTAAATGTAGACACGTGAAATTCTGTGTTGTAAACAAAAGTAAACCTAAGAAATAAAAAGAACAAAAAAGTTAAATTGGTCAAGCCTGTTCTAAATTGTCTTGTTGTGATCTCTGCTGACTTTCATCATCCAATCATGTGCAAGAGAAAAATACTGTTTTTTAATCTTCCTTGGAAGTGATTGGGTATTTTTTGCAAATTTAATTTACACTACAGTCACTAAGATAAATTACCTTGTAAAGTGATCATTTCCTTGCAAAGTGAACAGCCTATTTTACCGAACAGTATCCAACTAAACTTTTCCCATATAAATGAATCCTAACAATTCCCCGTTTATCAAGCTCCCCATGTGCATCAGTTCATTTGTAATAGTAGCACAGGTGGATAGTGGTGGAATTTCAATGGGTTTCTAGTATTTAGATATTATTGTTTGGGCCACGGAAAGACAAAATCTGAGAATGTTTGCTTCAATGCTTTTATTGGAGTTTGGAAGCATGGACAATAGAGCAATCTCGGTGATCATCGTGATCTGAGTTGGATGCAGAGTGCCATACGCTTCAAAGACTTTCTGCTAAAATTATTGTATCTTACCTCTACTCTACAAGGTATGCACATATGTACACTTATGTTGTAGGCAGCGCCAGCAGGTTTTAGGGGAAGATGGAAACACGTGATGTACAATGGTGGGACATTTGTAACAGTGTGAGATTATCTTAGAATTTAAAAGTGATTAGAAATAGAAGTATGAATTAAAGTAAACACTTAAATCCGCTCCTTCTCTGAGACGCTGCAACCTAGGTCCTTTTCCTATTCCACCATAAAGGAGGTTTTCTCTAAGCAAACTCTCTCTCAGAAGTGCGTGAAGTTACTTACCGTGGATGTTTAATCCATTTGGATGCCACAAAAAGCTGTTCAAATGATGTGAGGTGTTGGGAGAGGAAATCCCTAGATTCTGAACTCTGATAATTAATAAATAATACATTCAAAACTATCAAATAATTGATTGGCAGGATACCAATCTTGCATATATTCCTTTAAGAGGTAGGTTTAAGATGAGTTTGAAAGGTGTGGTGTGAGGGGAGTAGCATGTGTTCTAGTTGAATGTTAGGGGAGCGCTCTGTAGACAAAATTTTGTGCATGTCTGGAGGACATTGCGGGTTCCCAGCAAGACACAAGAGAGATGGATAAAAAAGAGAGGAAATCTGGGGCAGGTCTGTAGCTAGGCTGTAGCCAAGGTAAAGACTTCAATATACTTTTCCAAGGCTACTTCGATCTTTGTCTTAGTGGCATGTCACCAGTCCAATAAGTGAGTGAGGAGAGCAGCCCCATGCTACATAGCAAAATCTGGGAGACCAATGCCTCCCCATGTTTAGGTCTAGATAGGATCCTAACACTAACTTAAAGGGGTTTTAAGGCCCCAAATGTATTCAATAGCAGCTAAATGGAGTTTGTGAAAATATTAGAAAAGCAAATAAATCGGTATCATCTGGAGTTTATAAAGGAGGTGCAGGAGAATGTCAAATCCCAACCCAAGAAATCTGGAGGGTGCGTTACTTAGGTCAGAAAGGATAAGATCAGTCTGGTCATAGAATTTTATAGGCAATAATCTCCCTAAAACTGTAGCCCTGTTTTGACATTTGAAAGGGCTACAAACATCTCTGATATATAGTTGTAGCAATGTAGCTTTAAGGAAACGCCAGGGTACCCGGGGTGAATGCCTTCGCTAGAAGACAAATGTGAATGAATTCACATTGTGCCAGAGAGATCTGATTGATGGTTCTGGAGTGGGAGAGGAAAGAGAATAGGGAGCCACTCCATTCATGTGATAACAAGAATCATGTGGATAGGAAGGGAAAACCAAGTGACAGAGAAATCAGCTCATCACTGTGCTGCTTCTCCTTCACTGTCTAGTGACAAACTGGGGCAGATCCAGGAGCTGAGCTCTGAGTAAGAGCATTGAATGATGCTTGTCATCAGACTGAGGACATCTAGTGGCAGAAAAAATATACTATGCAGGAGATGTGTATTGAAGGTGAATATTGCAGCAAGAGCTGGCTTTGTTATTTTATCTAATGACTATTTATTTTTATCTTGTATTTTTGTCTGGAATTGTGCTGTAAATATAATTCAGAAGATTGAAGAAAAAAAGCAGGAAAGACACCTCATCCACTTTTGGTTTGTTTCTTGTATTTAGTTTCTTATATTATTTGTATTTTGTTTTGTGTACATTTGTGCTTGTATCAGAAAATTAACCCACATACTACTACCTGTACCTGTTGCCTCCTATACATTTTAGCTTTATGGATGGAGAACCCAGGTCCCCCTCTGCTGATTGACAGCAGCAGTGGGCGGGGCAATAGCTAGTTTGCTATTGGCTATTGCAAATTGAAATAGCCAAAAGGAATCTAGCTATGCATTCCTATGGTGATTTCTTTTTTTTTTTCTTCTGGCAGCAGCCAACGGCTCCGATGTTAGCTGGTAACCAGGGACGCTGATCTCTCTGAAAGTATCCCAATAGAGATGGCTTCTTCCAACAAGACAATGTGCCATGCCACGGTGCTCGTATTGTGCAGGAGTGGTTTCAAGAACATGAGGGAGAATTTACCTTGCTTAGGTGGCCCCCACAATCACCAGATCTCAATCCAATTTAGCATTTGTGGGACGAAGTTGAAAGAGCCGCCAGGCAGCTGGTTCAACAACCATCAAATCTCACAGAACTGTACAGTGCTATTCATCTGGCATGGTGTCAGATTCCTCGCATCACCTTTCAACATCTCGTGGAGTCAATGCCAAGAAGAATCGCCGCTGTATTGAAGGCAAAAGGTAGCCCAACGAAGTACTGATGGGGTGGTCATAATAATCTGGCCATCTTCTGATGGCAGCCAACGGCTCCGATGTTAGCCAGGTAACCAGGGACGCTGATCTCTCTGAAAGTGGCCGGAGCACGAGAGAAATCACAAAAAACTACCATACCCAAAATTGACCATGGGCGACGCTTTAAAAGCTTTTATCGCTCATCAGTTTTGTGTTATCAGTGATTAATGGCCCTAGAATTATTGCTCTCACTGTGATGTCCACGGCGATATGTAACATGTGCGGCGTAATAGGCACAATGGTCATTTTCGCACGTATGCGCACCCGACGCATGTTTTCCCGCATATATACAATACAAATTAGTAAACTACATTTTTGCTAATAGGGTACTTGAATGCATTTTTAAGGTTTCACTCCTAAATTTAGTGTAACTTTAATTAAATGAACACACACTCTCTCAACCTTCAGCCCAGGATGAAGGCCACAGCTCTCCTGTCTGTTTCTCTTCCTTACAAAATGCAGAACAAATATACTGCAGGTAACAAGGTAATGTGTGACTCTAACGCCTTGAGGTGACAGTGAATTTTGTTTTGTTACAGGATGTGAATCTCCCCCTGAGCTGACACTGGATAAGGCCACAGCTGCAGTGGATAAAATCTTTGCTTCCTTGCGGGATCTCACAAAGGTTCGAGCACACCTGAAATTGTTCAATTCTGTTTATGTGCCTGGGAGCAATATCCAGCAGGTGAGAACAAATGCTTTTTTTCAAGCTGCAGCAGAGACGCTGAATGTACATGTGTAAATAACATCACACTTTCTTAACCAGTAATATGTGTTCCCTTATTGGTACCTTAGAAAGGTTCAGGAGATACTTTTCTTTCCTACAGTGATTAATAGTTTAAACTTATTGCAAGCAACACATCCAACAAACGAAAGACCCCGCTATACACTTTTCCTATTTTAAAACATTTCATAGCTCTTGGAAACATGCATTTACATTTGAAATACAGAGGCATGGGGGTACTTTAGATTAACATTGGGATTCTTTGTAAAGTTCTGATATTGTAAAGGGCAGAAAATATATTAGTTTTGAAAAAAACTGCATGTTACAGTATAATGTAGGTTCGTGGAAGCAGGACCATTTTCAGGGTGACTTTGCATGGCCATATCTTTGCCATCTACATTTAGGTGAGAATCTGACCATTTGAGAAGCTGAACAATCAGGGGAAACCATTAGAATACCATTTACAACTTGTGTGGAGTATCCATCAGTTTGCTGACTTAGAGAAAAGGATGGGGGGAGGCGGGGTGTCCCAATTGAGAAATAATGCATTTGAGGTCAGGCACTCATTTCACCACCAGTCATTTTCAGTAAGACCTCTGTTTATGGCCTGGATTAGACACAAATGGATCCAAGCCAAAGATCACTGTGGTGGGCGCCCATTACCTCTGTGACACATGTACATTTCAGAGAAATTGCCTTTTGCTAGATTATCTCTCATTTTACATTTTTGGGAGTCATGTTACAGCCCTTTTAGGCGCCATGTCAGCATTGAAGTAGATTAATGAATGGTATGGTTGGATTAGAACACACATTATACTGTATGTATTTTTGGACGACCAAGGATATTTATGATCATAAGATGATTCTCCTCTCCAAAGTAAATGCATTCTCTTTTTAATGCTTTTATGTAATTAAGGTATAAATCATTTATCAGTGTGCATTTATTTTCTTTAAACATCTTATTGTGTATATAATTAGTAATCATATCTGTATATGGAGCAGCCATTACACATGTACCTGCTATTTCTTGGTTAGCAGTGCTATATGATGGTAGGGCTATAATACTCCTTTCCACAATGCAGTGATTGGCCAAAGCACTGAAAACAATGCACTCCATTTGTGACTGATCTCAGAGTAACTGCACTGAGGCAGTGAGCAATCCCTCTAGTGTATAATCTATAAATCTCTATATTAAATGCAATAACACAAATATGTAAGGCAACCTTAACATTTTAAAGTCATATCAAATGATGCAATGTTAACTCAAAACCTGAAAACAACAAAAATACAGTAAACATTTCATATGCTTCTTGTGGGGAATACAGGTTACATTGCTTTTCACATGTTAAGTTGTATGTCAAGCCTTCAAGGTCTTCCTATATGTGGGCAACCAATAGATTTCTTTGTGTACAGCCAATTTTTGCCTAACGTTTGGTTCTTGGTGTTGAGCATACTTTGCATAGTGCTTGCTGTTTATAATGTGGCCGTTTGAAGGCTTTGTACTGTCTTGCCTGTCTCTCTGGTGGTTACAAATATTTTCATTATCCCAGTCAGATTGCAATTTCCTGCTAACTTTGCCATCAAATCCATTGTAAATAAATGGGTCTTACAAGTCTAACTGGAGATATCTTCACATGTGATTAAATAAGCATAATATCTTAATATTTGGATTTCCTGGATAAAGATGTTTATGGGATCAAATTATATTTGCAGGAAAAAAGGCATAAAACAGGAGATTTAAACAGAGCAGCAGCTATCAAAACCTGTTTTGTATTGTCAGCAGGGAAATTATATATATTTACTTGTTATTGACATTATATAGCTGTCCTTAGCTGTGTTCAACATCTGTGGGTGCAAAGGGTGCCATTCAAGAGAGGGAAACCCACAGCTCTGTTTTCAGTACTCTTAATCATTTGTTAAAGCGAACAATTTAATTTTCATATTTCTTGTAGCCTCTCTCTCAACTATTTTCTTTCTTATTCCTCACTACTTCATGTAGGAATAGTAAGGTGGCCCTCTGACAAAACTTATTTCCTGCCATCAGTGGCAATTTGCACGTCAGTAGCAACACAGTTAACATTGGTTTTTTTAAGAACTGTTTCACCCTGCCGTAGTAGAAAAAGTTTGCCATGCAGTCCTCTTCTTAATAAGCCTCCAGAAGGGGGCCATGCCCTTTACAAATATGATGAGAAAGAGGTAAGGAAAGGAGCTGGTGATCTGTAAATACTAAACACCCAATTCTTTTTGATCATGACTCCAATCTGACAACATGGATTTACCAACTATGGTGCCACTGCACTGCTCTTCCAATATGGAATCCTTTTGGTAACGTGTAAAAATGTATGCTGATATCAGAGGTCAATAAGGCACAAGTCTACTTTTCTTAAAGTGACTCTAAACTCAGGAGTTAAATCTGCTGAAAAATGCATTTAAGTACCTTAACGATTGTACTACAATACTGTACCTTCTTTGTTCATCACTCAGCTGTAGATCTTTTAACTCCTGAGTTTAGTGTCACTTTAATGCATCATCAATCAGAATACTTGTACAAATTATTTATTTATTTTTTACTTGGGGGAATCTTGCAACCAGGCCATTGTCATTGTGTCCTGTAATGTTTTTACTCAAGTTTTTGTGTAAACCTTTTTTCTATTCATTTTCGAGTTCAGCATCACATTTGACATGTTTATATAACTTTGACCTTATAAAATGTTAATGGTGTAGGCATGAACAGTTAGTTACATACACAAGTATATTCTCGCTTGTAACAGATCTCAGCAAGTTAAAGTGGCACTAAACTCAGAAGTTAAATCTTACAAATGCATTTAAGTACCTTAACTAATAACAAAAATTTAATTTATTTGTGTATCACTTGGCTGTAGATCCTCAAATCATCTCTGAATTGGTGCTGACACTGTTCTTCCTTCTGGGGGTTGGCTACTTTTGTTGTCCATGGTCCCTGTGTGTGTTGTAAAGTAGCCACCACTCCAAGCTCACTCCCATGATGGACAGCAATCTCAGTACAAATTAGTAAACTAAATTTTAGTCATACATTATGGGATAGTATTTTCACACACTGGGTTTTACCGCCACATTTTGGGCACTGGAAGGTGCAAAGCTATTAAGACAGCTAAGTACAACCCCTCCCGCTCCAAGCATGGCTCAGTTTTGATGCTAGTGTTCTTAGGAGAGTCTATGAAGATTCTTCAGTTACCGAAAAACCACAGAGGCTCATGTTTGCAGCTCCTAAATTGGTTACTTCTTTGCTTTGCCCTGTAGAACCGTCCCCGACTCTCCCAGGAAGAAGATGTGGGAGTGGGCCATAATGTTGCGCTCCAGGCACTGGATCCTGCTGAAACCTTCCCTGTACACTCGCTTTCACAGCCTGCCTTGTATGGTGACTGGCCTCAGCCTGAAAAGGTATTTGCTGCTTCCAAGCCTTTAGAAAATAGTTTTTTTTAAAGGTCTGCTATTCCTTTTGTAGACTTAGCCATTTCTTGTCTCAACAAACTAATTAGGGGTATGGAGGACCAGAGCTACGAGACAAGGCTACTAAATTTAAACATGTTCACATTGGAGGTGAGGAGATTAAGGGGGGATATGATCTCCATGTACAAAATGTTCAATGGTAGTAGCAACATTAGCGATAAACTGTTTAAAATTAACTCCGTTACAAAAACTAGAGGCCACCACCTAAAATTGGTGGAAAAAAAATTCCAGCACAAGGGGCGAAGGGGGTTCTTCACAGTAAGATCAGTTAGGGTCTGGAACTCACTGCCACAGGTGGTGATTTCAGCAAATAATGTGGAATTGTTCAAGAAACTTTTGGACGATTTCTTAAGGGACCGTAATATACAGGGGTACAGGTAATATACAGGGGTACAGGTACTCCTAGAATGAGATCCTAATAGGTTGGACTTGATGGACTAATGTCTTTATTCAACCTCAAATACTATGTAACTATGTAACAAGACCCTAACTATTCCTGTTGAGGATATCCTGGTGTTCAAAGACCTTGTGGATAAACGATTGGCAATCCTTTCTAAATCTTTGTTCTTCAGGAGCCAGCCATACTTTTGCATGAGGGTTCTGGGTTGATAGTGAACTCCTATGAGGCTGTTCCTTTTGTCCAAAATCACTTCAGGCTGTTATAGTTCCAAAATTCTAGCTTCATGGGACAAGCAGGCTCAGTTTCTCGTCCACAATACCGCAGGCTTGCCTTGGCCTGGTGGACCATGAGTCCGGTGCTGGAATCATTCCTCCCGCCCAATGGTCTGGATTGTTCTTATTATGGACACCAGCCTGGTGGGCTGAGGAGGAGACCTCAATACTCTCTCAGTAATAAGGGCGTGATTGCCATAGAAAGCTTGTCTCACAAAAAAAATGTTTTGGAGCTCAGGGCGATTTTATTGTCCCTTTAATGCTGGACCTCTCGACTCTGACGTCACCAAACCAGGATTCAGTTGGACAATGCCACAGTGGTGGCATACATCAACCATAAGGGATAACCTGAAATCTTGAAGCTCAAAGTGAAGCAGTTCTGGCTCATTTTCCAGCCCTGTCTGCCGTGCATGTCCCAGACTTGGCAAGCAGACCTCCTCGTTCGGCAGTGTCTGGTCACTTCACCTCCCACGAATTTCAAGACCTCTGGCAATGGTGAAGGCTGCTGGATGTGGACCTTCTGGCTTTCAGATTCAACAGCAAATTGACCTGGCTGTTGAAGCCAAGGTCCTGAGGGATAGGGGTCTACTTGATTCAGTCACCCATATGGTTTTAAAGGCTAGGATGTCGACGTCTCCAAAAATCTACCATCATACCTGGAAAAGGTATTTCTTGTGGTGCAAGGCCAGGAGTTTACATCACAGAAATTCCTCTTAGGCATGAGTTCTGTAATTTCTCCAATCTTGTCTGGATCAATATTTGGCCTTAAAAACCATCAAGGCTCAAATCTCAGCCCTAGC